TGACGATGTATACAGAGCGAGTTGTTTTAGATATAATCAAAAATCCAACAAACAAGCTACACTAAAGCAACTGAACGAAAGCGCCCATTGGATCCACAACGACATACCACTTCATCACGATCTTGAGAGAGTAGAGATCACAAGGGGCGCCGATCCGGCCGCTGGGGAGACTTGAAATGGACGCCGCCCCGATGCGAGAAATCCGCCGCGCGCTTGGCTTCGAGGAGATATCGTTTGAGCTCGTTGAGTCAGGGAAGGTCGAATGGTCTCGCGGAAAGCCTCCCGACATGGATCTGTGCGATGGTGTCAAAGGGGGTTTTGTAGAGGAAAGAAGTGCGCGTTCGTATCCTCTGTTCTGGAGGGGCACTTCTCGAGCCTGGCATAGCAAGGACTGCGGCAATGATGCTCGGTAAGTGGCGCAGCCCGCCACCCATTGGCAGAAAACCTCGGACGCCCGACGACAAGAATTGGCCCTACTGTGCCAAGGTTGAGATTGTGATGGAAGTCGCCAAGCCACGCAACGCCCCGCACTAAATGTGCTACCTCAATGTACCCAGCGAGCCTGCAAGAGGGCGAGTGCTTCCCGATCTGGTATGTTCAGGGAAAAATGGCAAGATGAGGGAATGTAAGTATGCTAGTCGATGGAGTCGCAGCGTACTGCAACCAAGACACCGCGACACCCCATTCGTCAGGGGATGCCGACTGCCTGACGAAAGGCAACTCGCATAGCGTAGGTGCGGGGGTGGGGAAGCGAAGGGCGCTCGCGCGAGATTTGCCACCATGCCCCCACCCATGCAGCGAATGTCGCTGCGTTGTGTCGATCGAGAGAGTCCGACATTCCGAATGCACGATTATTAATCAAGCATGTTACAGCAAACTTCCAACAATTCAACGCGTGAGGAGCAGCGACGGGAGACGAGTTGCTCCGCTCGGACAGAGTTTGGGGGATATACGAGAAACGCGCATGCATGTATATAATATGCATACCTATACGACCACCCTTCGGGTGATACGGAGGTTTTTTTGTGGGGGGGGGAACCGACGTCTCACTCGATCGGTCTCATTATCGATCCCAATGCCGATCTCATTATCGGTCTCGCTCGATCGATTTCACTCAATCGATCTCACAAGCGATTTCACTCGATCTATTTCGTTCGATCGATCTCACAATCGATCTGACTATCGACCTCACAATCGATCTCACGATCGATCTCACATTCGGTCTCACTATCGATCTCACTATCGATATCACAATCGATCTCACAACCATTGTCATCATCATCATCATCATCATCATCACCAACCTCATCGTCACCAACGCCATCATCATCATCATCATCATCGGGGCACCATCATCACCAGCACATCATCAACCTCATCACAATCACCATCATCATCGGGATACCATCATCGTCACCATCATCATCAGCACCATAATCATCGGGGCACCATCATCCTCAGCATCGGAACACCAGCATCACCACCTCATCATCATAAACCACATCATCAACACCATCATCATCGGGACACCATCATCATCATCATCATCATCATCATCATCACCAGTAACCTCATCATCAACATCATCATCGTCGGGACACCATCAGCATCGTCACCATCATCATCACCATCATTATCATCATCGGGACACCACCATCATCATCAACATCCGTATCATCATCACCATTTGGCCAACATCATCAACCACATCATCATCACATCATCATCATCATCATCATCATCATCGCGACACCACCATCGTCATCATCATGAACATCATCATCATCGGCTCACCATCATCATCACCATCATCGTTATCAGCCGCATCATCATCAACATCATCACTATCATCATCATCGGGACACCATAATCATCATCTTCATCATCATCAGTATCATCATAATCATTTCATCATCTCATCATGACCGTCATCGTCATCAGGATCATCAACATCATCATTATCACCATCATCGGGACACCATCATCATTATCGACATTTTCAGCATCATCAACATCATCATCATTGGGACACTATCGTCATCACCACCATTGCCATCATCACCGCCGTTATCATCAAAATTGTCAACATCATCATCATCATCATCATCATCATCATCATCATCATCATCATCATCATCATCATCGGGACACCATCATCATCGCCACCATCACCATCATCATCGCCATCGGGACACCGACGGGACACCGGCGGGACACCAGCTGGACACCGCGGGCCACTGGCCCCCGGAGAGGAATCATTTGGTCCGGCCGCGCTGAGGCGGGACACCGGCGGGACACCGCGGGCCACCGGCCCCTGGAGAGGAAACATTTGGTCCGGCCGCGCTTCAGCCGGAGGAGACTTTTTCTCGCCCGCCCACGCAGTTTCGCTTCGCCCGCACGCACGGCACGCACGAACACGAAACCGAAACCAATTTCCCGTTAGGGGGGCTCTCTGTTCCACTTCGATCTCACCCCCGTGGGGCCGGTGGCCCGCGGTGTCCCGCCGGTTTCCCGTCGGTGTTCCGATGATGATGATGATGATGATGAGGATGATGAGGATGATGATAACGACGAGGTTGATGATGTTGATGGTGGTGATGATGGTGTCCCGATGATTATGATGATGATGATGTTGACGATGTTGATGATGATGTTGGTGGTGATGATGGCCATGGTGGTGATGATGATCGTGTCCCGATGATGATGATTATGATGATGCTGATGTCGATGTTGATGATGGTGTCCCGATGATGATGTTATTGATGATGTTGATTATGATCGTGATATGATGAGAAGTTGATGCCGATGATGATGATGCGTCTCGATGATGATGGTGTCTAGATGATGATGGTGATGATGAGGTTGATGAATGCTGCTGTTGATGATGTTGTCCCGATGATGGTGATGGTGATGATGATGATGACGATAATGGTATCTTGATGATGATGATGATGTTGATGATGATGGGGATGATGATGAGGTGACGATGCCGATGATGATGATGTGTCTCGATGATGATGGTGTCTAGATGATGGTGGTGATGATGAGGTTGATGATGCTGCTGTTGATGATGATGGTGATGATGATGATGGTGTCCCGATGATGGTGATGGTGATGATGATGACGATGATGGTGTCCTGATGATGATGATGTTGATGATGGGGATGATGATGAGGTGACGATGATGATGCTGATGATGGTGGCCCGATGATGATGCTGCTGGTGTTGATGATGATGGTGGTGTCCCGATGATGATGATGGTGATGATGATGGTGACGATGAGAATGGTGTCCCGATGATGATGATGATGATGATGTTGATGCTGATGTTGCCGATGATGATGATGATGGCGTCCCGATGATGATGATGATGATGATGTTGTTGGCGATGTTGTTCATGATTGCGATGATGAGATGCTGATGATGATGGTGGTGTTCCGATACTGATAATGATGATGGCGATGGTGTCCCGATGGTGAAACTGTTGGTGATGATGATGGTGACGACGTTGGTTTCCCGATGATGATGCTGCTGGTGATGATGATGATGTTGATGATGATGGTGATGAGGTGATGATGATAATGGTGTCCCGATGATGATGATGATGATGATGATGATGATGATGATGATGATGATGATGATGATGATGATGTTTATGACGTTGATGATGATGTTGATGATGATGATGACGACAATGGTTGTGAATTTTGATACCGATAGTGATATCGACAGTGCTACTGGATGTGAGATCGATTGTGATATCGATAGTGAGTTCGATTGCGAGATCGATAGCCATGCCGATTGCGAGATGCATTGGATGAAATAGTTCGAGTGATATCGATTGTGAGATCGATCGATTGAGATCGGTCGAGCGAGGCCGATAGTGAGACCGATGGTGAGATTGATCGTGAGACCGATCGAGTGAAACGTTGGTTCCTCCCCCTGTTTATCACCCGAAAGGGTGGCCGTACAGGTGTATATATATATATGGAGTATGTGTGGAGAAAGAGGAAGGGGAACAGGGAGAGAGGGGCACAGAAGGATATAACAAATACAAAAAAACAACGTAACGATATACCTATATATACATGTATATATATAAATATTTATGTACGCGTGTGTAACCTCTTCAAATTTATATGCATGTATATGCATCAATAGGTATGGAGGATAGAAAGACAGAGAGAGAGCGAGAGAGAGAGAGAGAAATGACAACACAGAAAACTACATAAAGATAGTGATGGGGGAGAGAGAGAGAGAGAGAGAGAGAGAGAAAAAACAAGAAAACACAGAAAGATGCATGACTAGATACCTGCAGGGAGAGAGGGAGAAGAGGGAGAGAGACACATGAGAGAGAACGAGAGGGACAACTGTACATAGAGAGAGGGAGAGAGTTTGTGGACAAACGCAGTAGTAAGTATATCGATAGTTAAACAGAGAGCGAGAGCGGAAAAAAAGATCGCAGCGCGTGTCCGCGTGCGGCCGACGGGGGTATCAACGACTTGCTCGGCTACTTGTTCATCGGGGGGGCAGCCGAGCCGGGGGAGCACGGTAGACGCGGCAGGCCGCCACAGCGCATCGGGCCCCGGCTGAAACAGGATCCCGCGGCGCTCTTGGCGCGTGACCGACGGAAAGGCGCACGTTCGACGCGGCAGGCCGCCACAGCGCATTGAGAGAGGGAGGCGAAAGGAACATGGACCGGGAGAGTCTTGAGCATCACTGTCTTGTGCAATTTTTTTCTGCGTCTTTCTTTCGGGCGGGGCGGTTTGGGGTGGGGGAGATTTGGAGGTAAGTTTTGCGTGCGTCGTTCGGGCTACCGTGGGGAGCGCCCCAGAGGAGAGGGGAAGGGAGGATGGAAGGGGCAAGTAAGGAGGAAGGGGGGGATGCAGCGCGGAGGAGGGAGGGGGAGGAGAGGAGAAGGAAGGGCAGGAGTGGAGAAGCGGGAGTGCGGGGAGGACGTTGAGGAGGAGGAGCAGCCGCTGACCGGCAATCGCGCGACAGGTCCACGTCAGCCCCGTGAAGCCGTCCCGGGCGGAGGCTCAGGCTGGCCCCCTCTTGTTGATTCTTGGCGCCCAGCTTTGACCTCGTCGCGACGGCAGTGTTTTTTGCTGCCGTTTTCGGCATCCTATGCCCAGGTTCTCTCATAGCGAAAAATGAAGCCTCGGGGAAACGTCCAGACCTTGAGGGAGCCACGTCAGAACAAAGCCACAACGTCGGATGCTTGGGAACGCTGGGTGGCAGGCGGGCCATGGGTCGAGGCAGGGAAGAGGAAGCCAGAAACAGAGCCGAGATTATTGACGGCGTCCTTGAGGTTTTCGGAGCAGTCGGACATGCTGGAATATAATATGTAAATGTTGAACCAGTTCGGATTATCTTGTTAGGTCTTGGCGGGCGCCATCTTGGGCGATCTGAGATCATTGTGCCGCCTTCTTGGGCCATATTGGACGCTCCGACTTTTGCGACCCCCTCGCTTCCGGGTGGGGGGAGGGGTCAAGCTACCCCAACCCGCAAGCCGTGTCGCTCATTCACACTCGTCCACCCACTACGTCAGAGCACCCAGGTCTTAAGACAGGCAGGGGCCGCCATCGACAACCATCGGGAACCAATGCAGACTTTTGCGAGGTGCGCCACCGATTTCTGCGGCCCGCCCGGGTGCTGGGGCACTTGGGTGCCCTATAATTCAAGAGCCCGATTGCCCTATGGAGCCTTGCCCTATAGCCCTACCGCCCTATAGCCCAATAGCCCTATAGACTTATAGCTCTACAGCCCCAAAGCCTTATAGTGCTATGGCCCTGTAGCCCTACAGAGCCTTATAGCCCCATGGCCCTTTAGCCCTACAGCCCTGTGGCCCCATAGCCCTATGACCCTATGGCCCTGTAGCCCCATGGCCCCATAGCCCTCTAGCCATATAGCCTCATAGCCTTGCAGCCCTGAAGCCCCATAGCCCTAAAGAACTCTAGCCCTATAGTTCAATAGCCCCAACACAAAGATCATGATTGAGGTCTCTCCCCGTTTCGTTGTTGTGTTTTACATTATTTTGGTGTTTTCTGTGTTTCGATGGTCGTTGATGTTTTTGTCGTCGCGTTTCCAGGATTGTCTTGCAATTTGTTTTGTTTTGTCGTGCGTTGATGTTCTTGTGGGAGCTTTAGATTTTGATGCTTCCTGTTGTTTTGATCTTCTGTATATGCATGTAAATGTGTGCACGTGTTGTTAGTTATGTTATGTTGCGTTGTTTTTGTTATTTGTCCTGCGCGCTTTGTTATTGTATTTTTGCAGGCAGAGTGTGCTTCTGGTTGGCTCAATTTGTGCTTAGATACTTGCAGCAAGGAGTCGTTATTATCGTTGGTATATATATGTGTATATATATATATATATATATGCACGCAGAAGTCATCCGCGCTTTTTTCGGTACATTTTTCAACGTTTTCAAGACATCGACCGCCCGCCGGCAGCCTCTGGCCGCCCTTCAACCGCGCGCCGGCCGGCCGCCGCCGCCGCCGACCATTCACCGACTCAACACATCCAGAACCGCCAGCAAATCCGCAGACGCATACACCAATAGTAAATTCGCAGCGAGAGTCAATGAAACATCGAAGACAACGCATGTTGAAACACACAACATGCACAAACAAGAAACGGGCCCCCTACCCCCCCCCCCACACACACACACACACACACGCACAAACACAAACATCACCAACATGCAATGCAAACACAAACCACGCGAACTGAATGCCAAACACAGACAACAACAACAACCCCAGCAACAGCACAAACACGTGGACATGCATTACCAAACAGCAAACCAACAACAACATCGCATTTCAACAGCAGAAAACATCAACCAAACACCAAAGACACCGAAACGCGCCAGCAAGAAACGCAACACAACAACATCTCATAACCACGCACGCGTCGTCGATCACAGCAAAACCAAGACACCTGTTGCACCCCAGGGTTTGTCGGGCTGCTGTAGTTTCTGCTGCGGCCCCGCGGTGCCTGCGAATGCCCCGCGCGAGCGGGGGGGAAATGCAGCGCGGGCGGGCCGCGGGCCGCGTCGCAGATACACGCGTGGACACGGGGCGACGTTGTTTGGTGCTGCAGGGCCCCCGGTCGTTGTCGTCGTCACCCTTGTTGTAATCCTCGTCGTGGCCGTCGCCGTCGCCGTCGCCGCCGTCGTCGTCTTCATCGTCGTCGCCGTCTTTGATATCTTCGTCGTGTCTCTCGCCGTCGTCGCCGTCGTCGCCGTCAGGTGTAACGCGCGCAGCGCGCGCCATCAATGTTTGTGGTGCGTGCTGTGTGTGATGTTTGTTCCTGGCGTATGGTGCGTGATTTTAGTCTGGCGCGCTGCGCGAGCGCCCCCGACCACCCCGTCGAGTCGGGTTCGCATGTCGGACCCGCGCTGGACCGTTGCGGGCGTTGCCGACCCATCCGTTGCTGAGCGGTCGCGCGCCCGACCAAAGATCAGACGCGCGCCGGGGGATTAACGTGAACTCGCCGGGCGACGACGGGGGCAAGTGCGAGGAGATGCAGCGCGCCGAAGAGAAAGTGGAGCGCGCGGCGCAAGCGCCGTTCAGCGACGCGCGTTCCAGTTCCAGCCACCGCCGTGATCGACGTTGGCCCGGGCGAGAACAGGCGAGGGCCCAAGTGCGTTCGGGCCGAAGGCGAAGACCTGCGCGCTTGAGTGCGAAGAGGCATGCGTTTACAAGTTGCGACGGGACTCGCCAATTCCAGCTGGCGTTTCTATTGGGCAGCAGCGCTCCGAGCTCCACATTGGACTGAGTCGTCGCACATGCGGAGCTCGCGCACAAGGCAAGGCACGCGAGCTGTGCGTCAGGGTGTCTACGAGCATCGCGCAGCGCCACATATCCGGCCTCAAGGCAGGCCACCTGGCGAAGATGAACAAGAGCACCTACGGGACCAACCACGCGGCACATCACCGCTCGCGGCGCCACACGAGGCGTTCGCGAAGCTCGAACCGGGCGGCCCACTTCTTGAGCCGGCGATCTCTCATCGCGCAGGTCCAGCGCGGCGCGACGGCGCGACCCGCGGGATACCGTGCTTGCACGTGGGTGATTTCCACGTGGATATCGCACGGCCCCCGGCCCACCGCCGACGCGCTTGGGTTGTGGGCGCGAAGTCTATTGGGAGTTCGCTCGGATTTCGTGGGGGGCTTCTCGGGGGCCCTCTCCAGGCAGTTTGGATGTTCTCGGGCGCCGGTTCGGGGCTTCTCCGAGCCCCCCGGGCTTCTTGGAGGTCTTTTGGGGGCCTGTTTGGGGCGGAAGTTTCGGATGTTCGGTCCGTTGGCGGTTGTCGCTGCCATTCCATTGCCGTCGCGGGCGCCTCTCGAGCCGTCTTGGGGCGCTCGGAAGGCCGTCCAGGGGCCTTCTTGGATGCCTTCTGGTAGTTTTGAGGCGGTATTTGGGGTTCTTTTGGGCCGTCTGCGAGCTTCGGACAGCGTGGGTGGCGAGGCGTTCGCAATCAATGATTGTTGCTTCCTGGGATATTTTGGGGGGCCATTTGAGGCGTCGCGGCAGCTTCTCGGGCCATCTTGAGGCCGTCTGGGGCATCCTGGGCAGATTTTTCAACCATTCGCTGCCTTCTTGGGTCGTCCCGGGGCTTCGCGGAGCCCTCTCGACCCGTCTGCGGGCCCTCTCGAGCCCGCGGAGTTCGCGCGACGCGATGGGCTGGGTCCTCGCGGGGGGGGGGGGGGCTTCAGTAAATTGGAGAACTTGGGGCTTCTTGCCGTGGGCCCCTCGGAGGCAGGGGCCCGGGCCCCAAGGATCAGGCGAAGGGCGCGAGGGCGCGCCCGCTCGGCCCTGGCGGCGCGGCGGCGGATCTTGCAGACGGGCCCAGGTGGCGCCGATCTCATGCAGGACTTGCAGAAGGGCCCGGCGCTGGCGAGGTCAAACTTGCGAGGGCGGAGAGGGCGACAGTTCGCGGCAGGGCCTGCCATCCGCGCGCCCCGAGAGCGCAACATGGCGCCTGATAGCGCATGCCCTTGCAGGACACCGAGGGCCAGGAACGGTCGTGGAGCAGCTGCAGCGGGCCGCGCGAATGATTTGCTTCGAGGAGGGATTCGAGGCATCCCGTCTGTCATCTGCGCTTGGAGCTCCGGCGGCGCCCGGCGGTGCAGCGGCGCGCTGAAGTCGACGGCGGGCGGATCTGCTGATCGAAGTCTTAGCTGGCATCATCCCGGGGAAGACAATGGCCGACAGGCGGCGTTTCCGACGACCTGCTGAGGCAGCGGTCGCAAAGCGCTTCGAGACGCAATGCAGCGAGGGCCGTGACAACGAGAACAAGGCGCCCTGCAATGTCCAGAACCGTGTGGAAATCCCCCCCCCCCATCCTGATTCCGATGGCCATTCAATCGCCTTCCGAATATTAGTTCGTCGCGTTGACCATTCGGGGGATATCCCACGGAGACCGAGCGTTGCTTTTGATGATGCGCGCATGCAAATTCGCGCGCAGATTTAATTGTAAACGCTCGCCAACGCACATGCATTGGCAAATGCGCCAGCGCTGTACCTGCTCAGGCACGCAGTCGACTTCCGTCGACGAGTAGGTTGTCATCGCGTTGATGGGACACTTTGCGCGCGCGTTTCCCGCGCGCAGCGCCTGCGCGAGATTTTCTCGGCTGGCTTCCAAGTCCAACGCGGCCAACTCCGCGGGGCGGCCGCAGGCGCGGGGGGGGGGTCGCTAGCGCAGTCGCAGTCCACGCCAGGATCGCACGGGGCGGCAGGCGCGGCCTGGCGCCTGGAAGGGCCGCGCAGGAAACTGGGTCTGAGCTCGGAGGGCCAGGGCGGTCGCGGGGGCATCCCCGGCGGCCCGGTTGCCCTGCCTTCCTGTCAGTTTTGATCCGCGCTCCACAGCGTTGAACGTGTTTTTGAGGCAAAATAATGGTTGGGCGCTATCGGATTGATTGTTTTCTTCAAAAGATACAGCGCGCTGTGCGATCTACTTTGTCGGCAGAGGCCTACTCCCGCGCAGACTCAGTGGACATTCCAGTCTGGGAAAGGCATGCCCTGGCGGGGATCCCGTCT